GAAAGCGGGCAGCCCCTTTCCTGCCCCCACCTTGCCCGGGAGGGAACCTCTCCCTTTCCCCCCTCCTCCGCCCTTACAGGTGAGGTCCAAGGGGATGCTGTGGGGCAGGGATGGGAGAGAAAAAGGGGGCGCCCCTTACCCACTGACCTGCCCCCCCTGGAGGGGGCAATGACTGCTTCTCCCCCCCATTGATTTTTTTCCAAATAATGGTTTTCCCCCCTTTAAAAACAGTTTCTATGCTGCTATTTGCTTGCATGTGCACTTCCCCCACCCCTTGTACTGAAATATAAATGTTAAAATGCACATACTGTATATTCTTTATGGCTTTAATCATATTTTTTTGGGGAAAAAGATTTGTTTAATAATGATCATGTTAAAAATATATATATTGTATTATATGTCTGTGGTTTCTTCAGTTTAATTATTATATTTGAAGCCTCCAGATCCCAACTTTCCCATTAAGGAACATACTCCTACTACGCATTTTATCCTCACCTCAAACTGGTGAGGTGGGTCAGACTTTGAAACTCTGACTGGCTCAGAAGTAAGAGAATTTCGTGATAGAAGACGTGAGTTTAAATCCTCTAAGTCTTAATTCAACACTCTAACCACTACTCCACACTGACTATCATTGTTAGATTAAATATGGATATAATACAAGAAAAATAAGTCACCGGGTTTATAGGAGTTGGGATAAAGCTGTATAAAGTTAAAAAAAAATCAACCAACCACTGTCCATCAGTTTTTTGGATAAGATGGCGTTGTTAAGACTTGTTGCTTCTTGTTTATCACACTTTATTTATTTATTCTTTTCATTTTTGTGCTGCTTTTCTCTCCAAATAGAGCCAAAACAGCACACAACACAGAAACAATACCTGCAAAAATGAAATACTCCATAAATTTATATATATATATTTTAAAAAAAGCTAGCAACAAGGAAAATATTAGCATATAAAAATATGCCACATAAGTGCTGGAGTAGCAGTTCTTAATTTTCAAAGGCCCATACTGAGTCCCTGCAGGGGTATCATATTCTGAGAAATTCAGAGAATTGATAACACAGACGATCTTTTTTTTTAATATATTCACACCGGGCTGTTTTGGTGATTGGCAGCATGACAAGGGAAGTTCTCTTGAAATTTCTGAGAGTTTACACACACAGCAGAGGAAGTGTGAGTATAAAAAATCTATATAGATCAGATCATGAATTGATTCTCCCTTGGTTATCAACATAGACGAACTTGTGTGTGCCAGCAGTTGAAAAAAATATTCATTTAATCGTAGTTTAGAATGTTTACTGTATAACATGTACAAAAAATAAACTAAAAGTACTTCAATGTTTTACTTGGTACAGATTTGTGCTTCATGGACTTATAACAGTTTCTTAACATACTATTTTTGTAACAACTAGTAGCAGGCAGCATAATAGAAAAACACTTATTTTCAACAGAAAAGCCTCATGCTAACAAACAGAACAAGCAGAATAAGCCTTATCCTAACTTTCATTTCTTCTTTTATCTAGCCGCTATCACTAGATATTGCTAGATCCTAGCAGTTAATCTTCTTAACACCCATTGGCTAACAAAACCAGAAGTATCCAATTGGTTACAAAGTTCTATTATGCAAAGTTCTATCATTCTTATATACACATATACTGTATACATGCTGGGTTGCACAACTATATATTCTAAAGTTCTGGGTGGCCTTTGTTAGCACAGGGTGAAAGTGGTCCAGTACGTATGTAGATCCCAAGCCGTGTAGGACTTTAAAGGTAATAACCAACACCTTGAGTTGAACTGGGAAAACCATTGGCAACCAATGCTGCTGGCATAGTATAATAAGATCATAACTAGAAATGGGAATGAATTGTTAGTTTGTGCTATTCATCCATTGGTCCAACAGGTGTCATGTCCTGCCTCCTTTGGCAGACGCCCACTCAGGGGGAGTGCACAGAGGAGGCAGGGCAGGGAACTTGGGTTCTGGCTCCTGCTAAACTGGTGGATTGCGCCCCTCTCTAATCATAACAGGAAACACCTATTAATAGCAGATCTGCCTGGTGTTGTACCAGTTGTGGCTCCCCAGTAATCTTCAAGGGTAGTCCCACATGGAGGGAGTTATAGTTTAATGATTTTATTGTTTGATTTAGTATCTCTTGTTTCTCCAGGAAAGGTGGAGATGTAGAGCAGCTTATTCAAAGGAGCCGAATCAGTTTGGAAAGCCATGCCACGGACATTTTTCTGCAGCTTTTTCTAGTGAAGAAGGAGAATAATAATTGTGTAGAGTCCGGCTGGCAGTGAGAGAAAGCTGTATCTTTGCCGGGGAAAGAAAATGGCCACCAAGCAAAGAATTGTGGGAAGCTGGGAGGCCGAGGGTGGAGGAAAACAGTCCAGAGAGAAAATGGATGGTGAAAGCTTGGCAGGATGTGCCTCTATAAAGGTACCCAAAGAAGCGGGCAAGAATCTCATGAACCCGTTCCTTCTGGAAATTTCCGAAGACACAGAAAAAAGATCCTGGTCCCACAGGATAAGGAAGAGGTGGAGGACGGGCTAGCTGAGAGTCAAAAGTCCCAAGAAGAGCCCCCCATGCCACGGGAAGACATTAAGGCCTTTCTGGCCCACCGTGGGGGAGCTGACAAGGCCGCTCAATGGGTGGCCCACCTCATCCCCCACCTCAGAGAAGCCGAGGAGGCCTTCCACAGCCTTAGTGACGGAGAAAGTTCTGGAAAAATGGAAGTGGCCATCTTGCAAGGGGTGGCCAGCTGCCGGGAGTGGCAGCGGCAGCGCTTCCGGCGTACGAGGAGGCCGAGGGCCCCCAAGAGACTTGTGGTCAACTCCGTGATTTGTCCCACCAGTGGCTGAAGCCAGAGAGACACAACAAGGAGCAGATCCTGGAGCAGGTGATCCTGGAGCAGTTCCTGGACATTTTGCCCTGGGAAATGCAGGGCTGGGTCAAAGAAAGTGGGCCCGAGACTTGCATACAGGCAGCGGCTTTGGCTGAGGAGTTCCTGCAGAGGCAGCGAGAGGAAAAAAGTGGGGAGGAAGAGGTGAGGAGATGGAGAGAGGTAGGAGCAGATTGAGGAGGGTCTGTGCTAAGGAACTGTAGCTACTCCATAAAATGGAGGTCCTCTCCCAGTTCTCTCTGGAGGTTAAGCCTGGGACCTGCTGCCAAAACACATGTGCTCCAACGCGGAGTTATGATCCTTTCTCTAGAAGTAAAGACTTTCTCAGTGTTTTTTCTTTTCATCACACATGACTAGATGGGGGAATTTAGTAGGACCTGGGTCTCATTTAAAAGACTGATCTTTGGAGGGATCTATTTTATCTTACACTTGAGCGATCTTTCCGTTCTCAAGGGAGATGTTCCTTCTCGCATGAGAAGGATCCAGACAGCACTTCAAATCACTCTAATAATGTTTCTCCCCCCACTTCAGTTACTGATGTTCCTGCCCCTACCTTTTGTCATGGCTGTCATGTTGCACGTTGGGATGATATTTTGATTTAAACTGTCAAGAAAAAACCCATTTGAATCATGATTTAAATCAAATCCACCCCACCTGGATTGATCCGGCCTTCTTACCTCTAGCCTCCACCTTTTCCGGTCTGTTTCCTCCTCTGACTTTGAGAGTCCTCTTTCTGTTACAGGCAATGGGGCTGTTCGAAGAAGAAGAGTCAACGTCTCCAGTGGATGAGCCGATTCTGCTGGATTCCCAGCAAGCCCAGTTAAACAGTGAATCTGAGCAAGAGGACAGGACAGAAGAGAAGGGCTTCCATGGTAAGGGGGGGGCATGCATGCATTAAGTTCCAGGCCAGCCCTACCATTGGGCTAGGGCACGAGGGAACACGTGGTCTTGTAAATGGATCACCACTCCAATATTATTTCCTCATTGGCCGTGCTGGCTAGGGCCAATGAGGGGTGCAGGCCAACGCCATCTCGAGGGCCACCGGTTCCCAACCCCTGACTTAGGCAGAGTAAGGGGATCACCCCAATTCATAGATGCTGGATTTAGGAGGAGGCTCTGGCAGCCCTCACAGGTGTACGTTTTGAATATCTTAATTATAAATTTTAAAAACATATATGTGAAACAGCCTAGCCTATGCTCCTTTGGCGAGACTGCTACTCTTGGGTCCTGCCACTCTCATCATTGATTTATTTCTTTAATTAATTTAGATCCCAACTTTCTACTTGGCAGAGCCTAAGGCAGATTACAACGTAGATTTAAAACACTGGTGCAGCTGGGAAACACCCCCACACAGTGCAGTCTTTTTTTTTATGAGGCAAAACAGAAAATGGAAAGCTGAAGGTTTTGTGATTTTTGACAGAGGTGGTCCCAATCTGTTGTCATTAAAGTAGATCTGTATCCTGTTTGTCTTAGGTGAGAACCAAGGATTTGGGGGAAATGAGGAGCCACCTTCTGTGGGGAATCTGAAGCCAGCCAAGTTTCTCAGGACACTCCTTGGAAAAGCCAAAAACATTTCCTGGGATCCAAAGCCAGGACCGACTTCCAGGAAGAAGCGTGGGACAAAGGAGGCCCAGGAAAGCGGTCCGGTTGCCAAAGGAAGTGCCTCCGTTCTAAGAGGAGGGAAGGGAGACCCAGACAACGACCCAGCGAGGCCCGAATCACTGAAATTGGAACCCCGTGAGGATAAGGATGATTTTGGTTATGGCTCTGACTTCTTAATCGATGCTGAAGGCAAACCTCATAAACCTGTAGACTTCAAGGAAATGTCCAGTCAGAGCTCAAACCAGATAAAACAGCCAAGCGTCCCCACAGGCGACAAGATGTGTAGCTCTTCTAACAGTGGGAAAAGCACCCGTCCCGTTTTAAGCCCAGTCGGGCACAATCTGACTCTTGCTGAGGAGGAACTTGATGAATGCTCAGGCTGTGGGGAAAACATTGTTTATGGTTCTGATCTTCTTAAAAAGGAAAGGATCCATCTAGGAGATAAATTATATGTGTGTTTAACCTGTGGGGAACGCTTCGGCCTTTATTCCAGCCTGATGCAACACGAGCGAACACATACAGGAGGAGAGACGTACGTGCCCTTCAAGTGTAGAAAAGCTATCTGTCACAATGGCAGCTCATCCTCCTCGGAAAAGAGAACCGAGGCAGGAGAGCAGCCTTACAAGTGCTCAGCTTGTGGGAAGAGCTTCTGTAAGAGCTCTGGCCTCCGTTTTCACAAGAGGATCCACACGGGGGAAAGACCCTACGTGTGCACTGAGTGCGGCAAAAGCTTCAGCCCGAGGTCCAACCTTCTCCTTCACGAGAGGACCCACACTGGGGTGAAGCCTTTCCGATGCTGCGAATGTGGGAAGAGCTTCCTTCGCAGCTCAGACCTCGTAAGACATGAGATTACCCACACGGGAGAGAAACCCTACACTTGTTCCTGGTGTGGAAGGTCCTTTGGCCACAACTCGACTCCCATCGTCCACGAGAGGACCCACACGGGCGAGAAACCCTACAAATGCTCCATCTGTGGGAGGAGCTTCCGGCACCACTCAGGCCTAATCAAACATGAGAGGACCCACACCGGCGAAAGGCCGTATGGATGTCCGGCTTGTGGTAAAGGCTTCAGTCAGAGCTCAGGACTCACGTTGCATATGAGGACGCACACAGGAGAGAAGCCATATCAGTGTTTGGCTTGCAGAAAAAGTTACAGTCAGAGATCCAAGCTTACAAAGCATGAGAGAATCCATGGGACAGAACAGAGTTTTTAATTTGAAGAGGGGGAAAGGTTGAATAGTAGCCTTTCAGCTTGTAGGGTCTTATGTATAAGCAGAAAAATATCAATGAATAAATACACGTGGAGACCACAAAAACTCTGGGCTGCATTAACACACACGGTAGTGCTTCTCAGGGCTTGGACAGGGATGGCAGCTGATTCTTTCGCCATAAACCAACATAAAAATGTCTGTTTGAATATTTATTTAAAGAATAACGGGTTGTGTGCCTATCAGTTTTCACCCTGGTAATCAAGAATTTAGTTTTTTGTCATCATCATCTTGAATTCTCCCTTTCTTCACTTAGTGCTGTTTTCCACTTGGCGAGACCTCAAATCTCCTTCTCTTTCCCAGAGTTGGTAAAATTGGTTCTATAAGCTACAACTCCCAAAATTCCCCAACTGGGCTGGGGGATTTTGGACATTGTAGTCTAAAGAAGAAACTTTTATAAGCTCTGCTCTCCTTTAAAAAAAATTTTTTTGATCTGTTTGTGACTCTATCTCAGTCTTCCCTCTGCTCCAATTTCTAGCTCAAAAATGCGTGTGGGAGTATGTGTGGATTGATCTATCAATGGATCAAATCCTGCAGTAAGTTGCAAGAAGAGTAGGCCCATAGACTTAGTGCGGTTTCGGTGAATCAGCTCTTCTGTAAGTTCTGTTGATTCGGTGGGCCTTTCTCTAGTTGTGAATACCCAGCGTAATGTAGTGGATAGACTGACAGACTAGAACTCTGGAGATAGAATTCAAATCCCTGCTCAGTCAGGGGAACTCACTGGGGGACTGAAATTGATAAAAACCTCTCCTTAAATAAGAAAAGCTTTTACAGTGTTACGTTGCCAGTCCATGATTTCTGCAGTGATTGAAGGACGTTACCAATGGATTCATTTGGAGGAAAGATTTTGCCCATGTGGAACTAATGCAGTTGAAGATCTAACCCACTGTTTATTTGACTGCCTGATCTATAAAGATCAGAGAGTAGCTTTGTTCCAAGAGTGAGGTCTCACATTTAGTAGATCTGGTGCATATTTGATAGATTTTTCTATTGAGGGATAAGGTGCCATACATTTTTGAAAAGGCCGCTGGCTTTGCTTAAGAAGGAAGTTCCTCAGTTGAGGTGCCATACATTTCTGAAAAGGCAGCTGTCTTTGCTTAAGAAGGAAGTTCCGCAGTTGTAATGATCATGCTTTAACTGAGGGTTGAACTGTTCCTCGTGATAATATTGATTTTAGATGGTTTTATTTGTATACTATATTTGATATTTTATTCTAATCAAACTTCTTTTGTAATGGATTACAGCTATACACAAATAAAGCTGCCTTACTTACTTACTTACTTACTTACTTACTTACTTACTTACTTACTTACTTACTTACTTACTTACTTACTTACTTACTTACTTACTTCTTAAATATCTCTCTTACCTTCAAAGCCCTCTTAGGGTTACTATAAGCCAGTTCCAATTTGATGGCACGCAACAACAACAAACTCGTAATTGTAGCTCGCCACAAGATTTCAGTCAATAGAGGAAGAGGTCAAGATGTGTCTACTGTATATAGATAAACAGATGTGGATTGCTTCCACTTCTTGCAGTCTATTTCAGTGCCTGCTAATGCAAAAATAAGTCCCAGGTTTTTGTTTTTCCTGCAGGACTCACTCTCCACGTTTGGAAATATTACAATTGAGGGCCGGCTGCCTTGGGTGCAAGCGGCTGCTTGGCCCGATTCACAAAAGGGAATGTAAAGAGAGCTTCTAAAAGAAAGCCTGATTCTTCGCCAAACAAGCAGAATTATTTGCCTAGTGTGCACGATGCTTTGTTGTTACCTGTTGTCAGCTGCTTATTGTGATTCTCTGAATCAGTAACCTCAGACACTACAGTTCTAATAAATAGATTCTTTTCCTGTGGGGCTTTCTTCACTGTCCAGCTTTCACATCCATATAGAGTAATCAGGAATACTGTAGTAAGGATGAATGCCTTATGCTCATGAGCCTTAATTATCTTAATTTGCATGACTTATTCCAACCCGCAAGTCATTGTTGTTTTGTTATGTGTCATCAAGTTGGAACCAGCTTATAGGGCTGTCAAGGTAAGGGGGCATTTAAAGAGTGGTTTTTACCTGTTCTATCTCCCCAGGTGAGTTTCCATGGCCATGGGGGGAATCTAATCCAGGTCTCCTGAGTCCTGGCCCATCATGTTATCCACTGCACCAGTGGTTCCCAAGAATATCTGGAGACACCAGTTTCCTGTGGGGCTTTCTTAACGAAAACTCCCAGAAGCCTTTGCCACTAGCTATGCTGGCTAGGATTCCTGGGACTTGTAGTCCAAGAACCTCCAGGGACCCAAGGTTGGGAACCACTATATTACACCACGTTGTTTCCTGTGCAAGTTACAGGAATGGAAAAAAGAGTCATATCTTAAATGCCAAATCACATTACACAGCCATATCTCTGGATTGTAAAATATCAACAGATATTTTCTACATGCTTTCAAGATTAGCTTTCCCACCACAGGCATTAGGAATTTGCTTTGAAGGGAAGGGGAAAAAAACAATAAATTTGGCAAGATCTCAGCTTCTGTATCTTTTAGGATTTTATCCTACTTCCTAAGCTCTTTCTCTATGTATGCTGTAGAGACCCAGTTCAATAAATCTTCTAGCACTACAGTATTGTGTTCATAGCTACTCAGAACTGACCCTGTTGCACTCAAAGGAATTTAGCCCCTCTTAAGGGATTCTATAGGATTGCAGTTGTAGTCAATCGAGTGAATTTTTAATCATTTAAACCAGCTCAGGACTTGAATAGCTGTCCTCTAGTAAAAAAGAGACTGTACTCTTTTTTTAAAAAAAATATGGCACCCATAGCTTCTCTGAGTTACTCAAGCCCCCTCGCCACGACAAGGCAGCAATCCATGAAGGGGATACTTACATTAAAATGTCTTTTTAAAAACATGTTGCATGATTAATTGGGATGTCTTTTTAATTAGTTAGAGGATTTTTTTCACCTATTCATCTGACCGAGTACTGTAACAGTATGACCTCATTTACTGTATATCTACTCAGAAGTAAGGTTTACAAGGTCACTGGATTTTGGGCTCTTCTAGATGGATGGCTTCACTCTTTGGCTAATCAGACAAAACAGTTTGTTTCTCATTATACGTCAAAACACTGACTGTACATTTTGCCATATATATCCAATTATAGTAGGAATAGAGACTTCCTGAAAAGAAAATAAAGAAACCTCAGAATCGAGGAAAGATGGGGTTTTCATAGAATCTTAGAATCACAGAGCTGGAGGAGACCACAGGGGCCATCGAGTCCAACCCCCTCGCCATGTAGGAACTCCATCAAAGCACTCACGACCGATGGCCACCCAGCCTCTGTTTAAAAACCTCCAAAGAAGGAGACTCCACCACGCTCTGAGGCAGCCTGTTCCACAGCCAGACAGCTCTGACGGTCAGGAAGTTCTTCCTGAGATTCAGGTGGAATCTCTTTGCTTGTCGTTTGAAACCATTGCTCCTTGTCCAAGTGTCTGGAGTCATGGAAAACAAATCTGTCCCTTCCTCGAATTGACAGCCCTTCAAATATTTAAACATGACTATCATGTCCCCTCTTAACCTTCTTTTTGTAAGGCGAAACATTCCCAGCTCCCTAAGCCACTCCTCATAGGACATGGCTTCCAGACCTTTGACCATTTTGGTCGCCTTCCTCTGGACATATTCCAGGTTGTCAACATCCTTGAATTGAGTGCCCAGAACTGGACACAATATTCCAGATGAGGTCTGACCAAAGCAGAATAGAGTGGCACTATCACTTCCCTTGATCTAGACCAGTGATGGCGAATCTATGGCACACGTGCCACAGCTGGCACACAGAGCCCTCTCTGTGGGCACACAAGTTGCCATAGAGAAATACTTACCCGTCCTCCAATCCCGGATTTTGGCACTCCCCTCTGCTGGTGCAGTGGTCCAGCAGAGGGGTGCAATGGCGACCATTACCGATCTAGCCCAATGGGGGATTGAAGGAGCAGTAAGTATATATTTGTTAATACCGCCCATGGGGGGGGAGAACAAGCATTTAACCCTTGCAGTACAGGAGCAGTTGTATTTTCTAAACTAAAACTTCAGCATTCGGGTTTTAATTGCAGTACAGTATTGGCACTTTGAAATAAATGTTGATTTTGTGTTGCAGTTTGGGCACTCGGGCTCAAAAAAGGTTCACCATCACTGCACTAGGCACTCAGAGGCAGCCACTGCCCTCAAAACAGCAGATTTTGCAGTACCAGTGTATTTTTGCCATCTATCCATGGCATAGATCCACATGAATTTTAATGTATGCTCATCTCCAAATCATTGCCCATCTCCATTTCCTCGGTTGTGGCACTGGCGTGAGAAGTTGGACAGGAAGCTTCTTTGAAGTGGCATATTTCCCCCTGGCTTGTACTCTGCAAGTCCATGGAGTGCTCATGGTGTTGATGATGAAGATGAGGCTTGTCAGGTCTCAGAGAATGAGCTGCTGTGCCAAGATATGGCTGAGCTTCCCTGAATCTCCAGGTCAGGCAAACAAATGTGAGGAGCAGTGGTGGAAGGGAAGGAGCGAGTCTTGTTTATTGTTACGGGGTGGCCATAGTGTTTGGGTACCCAACTCCAACCCTCTCTGAATGGCACCAGGGCTCACTGGCTTCCTGTGTCTGTCCAACATGACACATAATATACTTGCTTAGGAGCTCAGACAGGGAACCCACAATGCCTAAGTCACTCCCTCACACATGCATGGAGAAATATTATGTTCCCAATTCCTGTGACATCACAAGGCCCCACACCATGACTTCACAAAGACCCACCCCAGGCATTGGGCCCCAGAGACTTCTGAAGGTAAAATTGAAAACATCCCGGAATTTAGTAAGCATAAAGGAAAGTCTTTTTGTACTAAAAAAAGAGAAGAGGTTTGGAGGGATGGGGAAGATAATCCTGTGACAGCCCCCTACAAACAAGACAGCACTTCAAAACCATTCTGGAAAATTCTATTGGTTTTGGAAAAGAGGCTAAACAGGTATCATCAGCGGAGACAGAGAGAGAGAGAAAGAACAACTAAAAGGACAATCTTGTCCACTGCCGTCAACCGGCTTCAACCCAGGCATATCCACCGACCAATGTTCTGGCAACTTCACCCTGAAGTTCCGCCTGTCAATATCCACTGGCTTCCACCAGGAATATCCACCAGTTCGTCTCTTCCATTCCGCTTCTGAAGCCAGCCTCCGCCAGCTCCCGAATGCTTGGGTCACACACATGCATCAGCGACATCCCCACGGAACACCAGCCAGCCCATTCACGCACACATTCTCTCTCACACACACCAGACACTCCCAACACACACCTTCACTCCACCAGCCATTCACACACATGCGCGGGCTTCCATCCACCCATATCCACCAAGCGTCCGCCAGCTGGTTTCAGGAGGCTAATGTCCCCCGGCTTCATCCGCCAACGTCTGCCAGCCTCTGCCTTGTGGCTTCAGCCAGCTTCCGCAGGAAAATTTCACCGGCTTCTGTCTGCCAACGTCCACCAACTTCCCCCCCAGTCCATCACCCAAATCAGCCAGCTTCAAGCCACAGATCTCCGCCAGCCTTGAGCTGTTACTCGCAAGCCCACTTAGCAAATTTATCTGCTTTCACGAGAGAACTTGCCTTGGGCTGAAGGGCTGGGTCCCCTTCAGCCGCTGCCACTCTCTCTGCTGGGCTGCCCTCTGGCCACCGGCCTCCCTTCTGGTCTCCTGCCCTGCTCAGCAAGCCCCTTTTATCTGCCAGCAGAGAGGTGGGGCCCCTGTGAGGTCACAAAGACCCAGGAGAGTGGGGTTGGGTTCCCAAGGCAGCAGCAGCACTCCGAGATTGGCTGGGTCCTGAAGATGATGTCAACAGTCCCTCTGATCATGTGATTCATCCACATTTTGCATGATTTTTTTAAATTTTTGGCCTATTAATGTATCCCCAATATCTCTGATTGTTAAATCTCCCCATGTTGGCCTTCTGACAGGATTCTAGGCTGGTCCTCCAAAAAGTTATCTTCCAGCATTTGCACCAAAAGGAACTTTCCTAAGCCCTGAGTTAGGGGAAAAAATGAAAGTAATAAATGAATAAGGATGGGCACAGTCACACAATGAAGCCTTTGATGCTTTTTTTTTTGCCTCTTTTTGGACACTTTTTTCTTGCCCTTGGCATGAAAAATATATTATAAGGAGCCCGTTAAGAAAACAAGCTAAGTGTCTGAAACTCATATGAGTATTTTAACACCATCCCTGCACTATCAAAGATGCAGCTGTGTTTCAAAGCCTTGGGAACTCCCTGTTACTGGAAGGCAGATTTGCCCCACCAGTATTTATTTGTTAATACCGCCCAGAGTGGTATAACAACAACATGTTGTTGTTAGCCGCCCAGATTGGTATAATATACCAGATGGGCGGGATATAAATCAAATAAACAAACAAACAAACAAACAAGCATTTAACCCTTGCAGTACAGGAGCAGTTGTTTTTTCTAAACTAAAACCTCTGTATTCAGGTTTTAATTGCAGTATTGGCACTTTGAAATAAATAAGTTGATTTTGTGTTGCAGCTTGGGCACTCGGGTGCAGAAAGGTTCACCATCACTGATCTAGACACTATACTCCTATTGATGCAACCCAGAATTGCATTGGCTTTCTTGGCAGCCGCATCACACTGCTGACTCATGTTCTGTTCTAAGACTCATACATCCCTTTCACAAGTACTGTTGTCTAGCCAGGTGTCTTCCATCCTATATCTGGTTTTAAACCAGCACTGAGTGACAGCAGGGGTAGCCTGGCTAAATGTGTAATATGGCAGCCCTACAAAAATGGCCACTTCAGGCCAATGGTTGAGGAAAACACACACCCTGCTTTCTTTCCTGCCAGAAGATCCAGTCTGCTGGTACAATCCTGAAGTTGTCAGGACTTCAGAAGAAAAAAGGATAGCAATTTCCTGTCTCTGGGTAAATCTGGCCTTTCTGCCTTTTAGCTGTTCAATCATCACAAAAGAACTGCAAGCTGCTAAACTCACTAGTGATATAGATGTTATGCGCCAGCAAGCTCCTGTTGCCAAGCTTCAAATTTATGGTAAAAATTCCTTTCAGCACACAGCAGACATCCAGAGATTCACAGAGAAGAATAGCTTCAAGTTCCTGAGTGCCCACTCCTTTTAGATTCACAGAGAAGAATAGCTTCACGTTCCTGAGTGCCCACTCCTTTCTCATGAACTGGTACTTAAAAGTCTCAGTAACTCACTCACTCCGAGAGACATCTGAAGGAGAAAGAACAAAATTTCTTTACGTAAAATTGTGAACAAGTCAACAGCAAACAAAGTGACTTCCAATAGACTAAAGAGGGAAAGGAACAGCAGAGAGGCAGGAAAGAACAACAGGTTAGTGCTGGGTAGATTAACAGCCACCCCTGCTCAGAAAGATCCCTTCCAAACTGCGAACAGCATGCAAGAATGTAAATACTCCCAACAGTTACTTCCAACTCATGGTGACCTTAACAATTGGCAACCTCCATAAGAGCCTAGAATTTAAAGCCTGGGATCTTCAGAACTTTTGAACAAAAGGCAGTTGACTTCCTTTACTGATTCAATCTCATGGTAGGTCTTCCTCATTATTATTATTATTTTTTGCTGCCTTCAACATTTCCCATCAAGACTTGCCTTCTCAGAATAGGTCCAGAACAGAGGCCGTGTAATCTTATCACCAAACATTTTGTAAAAAAAAAAAAAAAGACAAAAATGTTTTTCTTCTGCACCCTTTCCACATGCTTAGAAATTCTTCCAGGAATATTTAAAATACCGTGTAGAGAGAAAGCGAAGGCTCGGCTCGAACCAGCGAGCTCCCTCTTGAAAGGGTTAAGGAGGTAGAGATGTGCCCGCATCTTTTCCTAGAGAGGAGAGTGAGCGTAGAGGCGGGTGTGTGCAAATGCATGTGTGAAAAGGTCCTTCCTGTTCTGCCTCTTCTTGCAAAATGACAGCAGGAGTTCAGACGCTCGCTCGATCTCCCAGTGGCCAACGCACAAGGAGGTAATCTTAGGGGAGAGGGATGTAGCCCCCGCTTTATTGTTGTTGTTGTTGTTGTTGTTGTTGTTGTTGTTGTTGTTGTTGTTGTTGTTGTTGTTGCAGCTCGGACAATAGTAACAGAATTTTCAGCCCTGGGAAAACGGGGTTGGACATTCCCACGTGCCCATGAAGAATATTTGCTGGCTGTCTTAGGAAGAAGAAGAAATTCCCAACTTTGCAGACTGCATAAGAGGCCCTTCTGTCCTGCCTGTATCATTCAACCTATGGGCTGGTTGTGCTGTGTACTTTTCCCCGTTTGTAAACATCAGGTCTTCACAGAGAACCAGAAAGGCATGAATACTGCCTCAGACTTCGACATGGATCAGATTAGTGTTGTGGTCTGATCTGTGTGCCCTTTATCTAGGCATAGAGTGGGTTGGTGGGGGACTCTGTTGGAGAGAGAATATATATTGCTTAACTTTTTAGTTGAACTGCTGGGTAGCTTGATGGTTTATAAGAATCTGGCAGGGGAGCCAGAAGTTGGAAGTTTGATTCTCTATTGTGCCTTCCTGACAGGGGCTGGATTCCATGATCAACGGAGTCCCTTCCAGCTTTGCTGTTCTAAGATTTTAAGATAGTGTCTTTCACTGAAAATAATTCAGAGGCTTTGTAGAAGTAGACAATGCCATTGCAGTTGTATCATAATGGTGAAGAGGGACAAATTAAGAGCCTAAGAAGTGGGGATGAGCCAGGTTTCCTGATGAGATCTGAGAAGGGATGGAAAATTAGTGAAGCAGAGAGAGAAGTACAAGAGGTAGAGAAAACTGGAGAAAATTGTGGATACTGAAAGGAACTTCTTTGTAAAAGCTGGAACCTATTTAGAGGCTAAGTTGGATCTGATCTGAGTCTCATATATGTATAAATTTTTGGCTGCTCAAAAATGAAGTTTGTGACGTTTCTATCCATTCTGTTTGCTTTAACCAGTGCCCCCTGGGATTTTATCTTGTTACTGTTATGCTGTGTTACGTTGAGAGTCAAAGAAAGTTAAGGGTATGCAGGATCAACTCCCTAAAGCAGTGGTCCCCAACCTTGGGCCTCCAGATGTTCTTGGACTTCAACGCCCAGAAATCCTGGCCAGCAGAGGTGATAGTGAAGGCTTCTGGAAGTTACAGTCCAAGAACATCTGGAGGCCCAAGGTTGGGGACCACTGCTTTAGGGAGTTGATCCATGTTGTATGTGGATCTTCCTCTTTTCTTGCTGCCTTCAAACAAGCCCGTAGGGTATACAGTATTGGATAAGAGTGTTAAGATTAGGACTCAGGAAATTTGTATTTAAATTCCTGTTTGGCCATGGAAACTTAGCGATGGGTGGAACTTCTTGAACATCCCACATACATCAACAACCCTATTTTGCCCAGCAGCAGGCCTCCAAAATTTCAGGTCAGGGATGATATTTTCCATCAGTTATGATCTCTTATTATTATTATTTTTAAAATCAGGGTATGCTAGAGATATGAACTTGCTATCTTTCATATGCAATAGATGTTCTCCCTACTGCTAAGCTATGTCCCTTCCCCAGAATAAATCAACATGAAGTCATTAAGTGTGAAATCAATCACAGCTTCTTAAACCAAGTGTGAACATGGATCAAGTTTTAAGTGATTATGTGTGAAAGCCAGCACGAATTCCCTCAGTTTATCACTTGTGTCGGCTATGCTATTGTTCCCTTGTAGACTGATTTTTACTAACGAACCACTGTCACTTTGTCCATTATCTGTATCCCCACCTGGTCATGGGGATATGTATAAATATGACAACCGCATAGAATCACTCTAATGTCAGAGGAAATGGACTTGATCCATGAAAGCTCATATTAAAAAAATATAGCAGTTAGTTTTTAAGGTGCCACAACATTTTTGTCTCTTGGGTTTCTTCCCACCAAAATCCTACTAGGGTTGCCATAAGTTGGTTCCAACTTAATGGCACATAATATACTGTATAACAATAAATAACTAAACATAAGCAGAAGTGGTGGCTTAAACACTTAGATGTACATTTTGATCTTATTAAAACAGTTCTTGGCCTGGGGGTGGGCTAGGGTTGCTTTTGAAAAATCAGTGGGATCATAGAAATAATAGAAAAGTGAAGTTGGAAGGGGCCTACAAGGCCATCCAGTCCAACCCCCTGCTCAGGGCAGGTATACAAACCAAGCAGATCTGCCAGGGGATTGTTTTTTAATTGATTGTCTCCAGTGTTGGAGCCCTCACCAGCTCCCGAAGATCTTAAACCTAACTCAAAATTAAACTCCACTGGAGGTCTGATTTACTGTCTCATGTAAGTAGAATAGCAATAGAAGAGGAAACAATGCCTTTTAGTTTTTCCTTCTTAAAAATGGTGTCCAGGAGGATCCTGTTCATTTATCTGTTCTGTTTTGCGCACCTGGTCTTGCTCGGGTTACAAAATTATGCACATAAAGTGGGACCCTGAGGGAGGAGAAAAGGACTGTGCGGTCAATCTTCTGAGTAGTTTTTCTTTAGCTCTCTTGTGGATGCAAATGTGTCGCATACACGGTTTTGTAAATGAACTTTGGCTTTTCACTTGTCCTCTTTCATTTCTACCACTATGTAAATATTCTTGCCATTTGACAGGTTGATTTGTAGGTTGATTTTTTTTTAAATTAAGCATTGATATTAAATTAGGTATTTTTTTAAAAAAGCTAAAATTAAGTTTTAAACAATTAGAAGTACTAATATTAAAAGAAGTATTGATAAAAACATTAATTTAAAAATATTAATGTTTTTATCGAGGTCTTAAGAAAAATGAATGTTTTTATTGATACTTCTTGAGAACTGCTAGATAGCTCAGTAGTTCAGGTGTCTGGCTGTGAAGTTGAAGGTTGGGAGTTCGATTCCCCACTGGGGCTCCTTGACAGGAGCTAGACTTGATGATTTATAGGGTCCCTTCCAGCTCTGCAGTTCTAAGATAATTATGATGACTTTGGTGGCAGGGAACAATGAGAATTGTAGCCTGTCAATTGCAGGATAGCTCTCTGGTTTAGGTATCTGGCTGTGGAGCCAGAGGTTAGGATGATTTACAGGGTCCCTTCCAGTTCTGCAGTTCTAATATTCCAACATTTAACATATCCAGAATACCTGGGAAGGGGAGGTATTTTAAATTTATTTTTTTAAAAAATAAACATAAGGCCAACCATTTTTTTTTGTTTCTTGCTGACAGGGAGGATTGTTCTTCCAAGTGGAATTTATCATAAGATGTGTTGTGTCAGCTAAAACTCAGGCAAGAGAGACATCACAATGACACAAGACTGGCCTTTTGGAATATAAATACTGTACAGTTGTAAAACTGAAGGACAGCAGGGCTTGGAAGGTGATTTGCAGTTTCAGAAACAGACCTGAAGATTTTTGGAAATTGTGAATAAGGCACGTCAGGAATAGCTGAAAATGTGTCCCTTATAGCAAGAAGGCTTCTAAACTGATTACAGCAGAAAAAATTAAGCCTGGATCCAAGCTGCCTTCGAGAAGATGCCAAAGCTAAGAATGAGAGTAAAGGCCTTGAGTCCACACCGCCCAGGCCCACAAGATGGATCGAAGGAGGAAGAAGAGGGAAAGCCTCCAGTCACTCAGCATGGAGTCACTGAGGACTTGGCAAGATGGCCGACATGGCCTCAGGTGAAACAGGAACCCGATGATAGCCTGTCAGAACATTTGGAAGCTGAGTGGCAAGCATTTCTGAAGGCCACCCCGTCCCTTTGGTCCAGATCTGAACACCCATCCGTGTCGGAGTGCCCATTACGGAGCCGCGCAGAGGCTTCGCTCGAGAGATCCCCTGAGCCGTGCTCGGCTCCTCAAGGGAAACGGGCACCGTCTAGGGGGGCGACCCTTGGCAACGGGGCCCCACAGGCTTCGTGTTTCCTGGACACCAGCGTGGTGGGTTCCTCCAGGAGGTCAGGAGGTGACTCTGTGGGTGGCGAGATGCAGGACCCACGGCGGTGCTCCCAAGATGCTGAGGCGCTGGGAGAGATTTGTGGCAGGCTCCGGGAGGTTTGCCGACAATGGCTGAAGCCCAGGATGCCCAGCGAGGAACACATGCTGGAGCTGGTGATCCTGGAGCAGTTCCTCTCCGTCCTGCCACCGGACATGCAGAGCTGGGTCAGAGAGCAGCAGCCGGACGCTTGCCCCCGGGCGGTCTCCTTAGCAGAGGCTTTCCTCTTAAGACGCCAAGAGGAGAAAGAGAAGGAGGAGCTGGAGGTGAGGGTGTCGAGGGTTAGGGTCGGCCCTGCCATTAGGCAGAGTGAATGAATGGGCTGCCCCAGGTCGTGTGGGTTTTCAGTGTTTGGAAAGGGCGGCCATAGGTCATTTATTTGCTTTGTTGTCATGCTTGGTAAGCCACCCAGAGACCTTTGGGTATAGTGGGAAGCATATAGGTCAAACAAACAAACAAACAAACAAACAAACAAATAAATAAATAAATAAATAAATAAATAGTTTTACACACCTAAAAGATGGGGAGAGGGGTTTCGGGAGACTTTCTGCCTCAGGTGTCAAAAATAACTTGTTTGGCTTTGGACGCAGAGCTGGGAAGCAGCTACGTAGTTACAAATAAAGAGCTATCGTAAGTCGAGACCCCACTGTAGTTACAAATAAAGAGCTACTTCTAACTAATTCCTAGCAGCTCAGACCAGCTAAGCAACATTACAATTGTAACAGAAGCAAAGAGGATTGTTAATTATTTTGCAATGTAAAATGTAACTCTTTCAGTTACTTTTCGGATTACAGAGGGTTTCTAGCTTCACTATTTTGTCTTCACCATATGCCTTTGTGACTTTGATTTTAAAAAACGAACTAAGAAGTAGCTGTTTTAGTTTCTTTCAGTTAGTGGGAAAATTAAAGAGTTGTTTGTAAAATGTATCATCAAAATGTTACGTATTACCTGGGAGGATATCTGGCCGTTGTAACTGTTGCAGAGTTTTGAGGTTTTAGTTTAATTTCTTTAGCTACACAGCGGAAGTACAGGGATTTGCAGAGCAGAATAGCTTTTAAGTTTCACAGAGTAGCGCAACTCTTTTCTCATTAACTGGCACTTACAGTCTCAATACCTCACTCAGCAACATTTGTAAAATAAAAGAATAAAAACATTTCATTTACTTACAACCGAAAAGCTCCAATAGCAAACAGACAAACATTCAAAGAGCATTCCCGTAAAGGTCTGGCTAAAAACCAGAGCTGATTCACAAACCAGGCCTTCTCGGCATTGGCCCCTCAACTATGGAATAATCTTCCGTCTGTGATTTGACTTGCTCCCTCGCTGGGTGTTTTCAAGAGCCATCTTAAGACCTGGCTCTTTAGGCAGGCCTCTCCCCTCCCTCTGTCACTACCTGAGCTTTACTTTTCTATTTTAATTTTTTATCTTTACTTTTCCATTTTGACCGTTTTTTTCCCATCTTGAGCTACATTATTATTATGTTTAAACTGTGGTGTAAAGTGTGTGTGAATTGTTTTTATACTACTTGTTGCAAGCCACCCAGAGTAGACACTGTCTACATGGGCGGGATATAAATAGAATAAATAAATAAATACCTCAGCAGCATAATAGACACATGTCTCCACCGGAGGTGTCAGAATCTAGCCCTTGTCTGCAGCTTTTGCCTTTTCAACCCCCCCCCCCCCCCGCATACCTTAGTTCCCCAGATGTTCATGGATGCAAACTCCCAGACGTCGCTTCACTAGCTGTGCTACCCAGGATTTTTGGGAATTGGAGTCCAAGCCCATCTGGGGAACTAAGGTCGAGAAGCACTGCCCTACTACTTTAAAGGAGACCCTCCCTGCTCTTGCTGTTACAGGTCCCGGGGCCATTTCGAATGAGGGCTGTGAATTTCCCCACCGTGGAGGACACGCTTTCGAACCCGCGGCAGAGGCATCTCAGCAGGGAGGGAAAGCTGAAGGGAGACGGACTGGAAAACTTGCTGGGTGAGGATACAAACGTGATACAGTATTTGGCGCTCAATATAATGATGTGAAGGATTTTGAAAATTTCAGGTTTCATTTTTCCCCCCTAGGGTCCTGAAAATAAGGCTGCATGTCTGATTTCTGGTCATTCTCAGAATCCTTTGAAAGTCCCCCCCTTTTTTTAAAAAAAAGTTGGTTTCTAAAGTCTAAATGCCCCTGCAGGACTCTGTTTTTTTATTTATTTTATTTTATTTGTACCCCGCCCATCTGGTCCTATGTCCACTCTAGTAGGGGAATACAACATATTTTTATTAGTTTATTTTTTTAGGTTTTAAATTGTTTTAATTAAAGATGTTTTTAACATTCTTTTCACTCACATTCTTTTAACAGGCTGGTCAGTTTTTCACAGTGTGAAGAAATCTGTACGAAACTTGAGAAGCTACTAAACTAGGGTGTCATTGAAAAATTTTGGAGCCTCTTATCATGAAACCATCTTCCTGAGCCCTTTTCCAATGGATCCCTCGGATCTCAGTGCTTTTCCTCGAGGTGGAGGAAGCTGTTAGATGCCAGGATTTACTCCACTAGATTTCAGAGAAGGATAGCCGTGGTAAAACTCTTTTCTCCTAGCTGCCACCATTCCCCTTCTACTGGTTAAATTTTGTGAGCACAGAGAACACTCTTAACATGCCCTTAGAACCTCTTGGTCAAACTGCCAGGGACGAGATTGAGAATCCAGGCTTCCCGAATCTAATCTCCAGAACAAAAGTCTTTTTGAAAGTTTATTAGAAAAGAAAAGAAAATGGATAAAAACAAGATGAAGGATAAATATGGCTGAATGCTAGGAAATAAAAAAGTCAGAAAATCAAGAAACAGTCAATAAGAAACAGGCTTTTGGACATTAGCAAAGAAATACTTGCTTTAAAAGAGAAAAGAATTAATTTGGCTTGGGGTTACATTTGCCCTTTCCTTTCCTCCTGCACTGACTTTCTACTAGCCCCCTGTGAGGGTCCGCCTGTTACGTCCTCCCCCGCCCCAATAAACCAGGAGACGTTTTTAAACCAAAAGACTCGTCTTGATTTATTAAACTTGGCAACGGCACAGAAACATTCACCAAACTGGGATTGAACTTCTCCGGAAGGAGCAACGGCTCCGACAGGGGTAACCATACTTCGGTTTCAAACGGGTTGGTCGACTTCGGTGCCCAGGGACCAGCCAGAACTCTTTCGTGTTCTTGGGGCACGACGTCTTCTGGGTCCGGGACTAATAAAGGGGTGGTCTCCTCATCCCCGCTCCATCCCCAGAACAGGGATCCTTCTCCCGTGGGTGTCCCATGGCCCAGGAAGCACCCCTCCATGTGCCATGCTGTCTTGGCTTCTCTCTCTCTCTCAGCAGCCTCCTTTTCCTCCCTTAACGTTCATCACCAGTCACGAGTCTCCGACTCACCCCAGTAAGACGGGCGCTGGGGTAGTCCTTTCTTTCGGCGACTCTCAGCCTCCTGTTTAGGCACTCTCACTTGCTCCCACTTCCCAGTCCATGGGTCCTGCATCCACACCATTTCCCAGCCACCCGGGATACTGTCCCGTCCCCCTTTTATCTCCCCCATTCCCGCCTCCGCTACGGCCCCCCTCCCTTCTTCTTTTCCCGCCAAATCTTGTGTGGTCCGGGTAGCTACAGATAACCTTTTCATTCCCTTTTCCAAGTCAGAGGTATCAACGTCTTGATGTATCAGCTTGGGAGGGAATGGACACAGAGGGGTCTGAGTTCCTACAGTTTCTTTGGGGCGAGACGGCACTCCCACCAACGCCTCTTGACCTGAAGCCCCAGTCTCACACCCCCAAAGTATGTTGTTTACAGTACCTTAACTCTGTAGTTTCTATTTTGCTTTCTCTGCTGTCTTCTCATTTCTTCTAACTTCTCTGTCTGTCTGTCTCTTTCTCTCTCTCTCTTCTGATGCCCCTCCCATTTTCTTTGTTGTTGTTTAGTCATTTATTTGTGTCTGACTCTTTGTGACCCCATGGAC